AAAAAAAAAAAAAAAAAAAAAACCCGGAAAAAAAACGAAAAAAAAAAATGAGTTTTTTTTGCCGATTTGAACTTGGACGACGAGGATGTTGCCTTTCAGCTGTTTTTCTTGCCTTTACTCACTCCGACTTAACACTTGCCTACGGAGTGATGTTTTTGCCCATTCGGAAGTGCACCTGTGACTTCAACGTACTTGCCCCCCCAATTTACCAATCGACCACCGAAACCGAAGTATCAATCAACCCACTGACCAACCAAAACCCTCGATTTTGTCGACTCGTCAATGCCAACCGAAACAACCCGTGCGCCAATCGATCAACCAACAAGTCGTCTAATTGATCAGACGGCCCGTGTGAGAATCAGTCTGGCAAACGCTAAACTGCTGCCAGAAATTGCTTGACCCTCCAATCACCCAATCAAACCGTAAACTGGATCGGTCTTTGATCGACCGATCCTTAATTGTCATTTCATCACACCACCGATCGGCCTATGGAGGGACGAATCGGCCGATCAAACGGAATCATCGAACCGATCAACCGATCCTTGATAGGCCAACCAATGAAAGACTTCCCACCCCACCAATGAACCGGTACACCGGTCCTTTATGGACCGATTGCACAATCAAAGACCTCATCAACACTCACCTTTCCAACGACCCCACCAGAACAGCCATGGATGTCAGCTATTTCGTCCGCCAATCAAGGCGACTGCCACCTACTCGGGAGTCCCAAGAAGCCGTCGATAATATCAGCCATCAACCACCGTCCGACCGTTCCACCTTCCCGTTGATAGGTGGACAAGTTCATCAACAGACCGATCAACCGATCACACACATGGGTCTGAAAACCCGCCTATGGACGCCACCGATGGACCGATCAACAACCCACCCAGCGATAGACCACCAACCCCACCCAGCCACCAATCTGAACATCCGCCAACTGAGCTAAGCGTCCAACGACCGTACTTAACATTCAATGACCGATCAATCAACCCGACCTCTTCCTCACCTCGAAGAAGTGGGAAGGCCCCGTCCAACAGCTCCATCTCCACACCCTTGAGAGAGTCCGCGCATGGGGGAATATCCAACATGTGCAGTATGACTGGCTGGTCCGGGCCCAACAAGTGGCCCCTGGCAATGAGCGGGACCAGGGCATAGCCGATCTGACCTGCTCACATAGACAGAAATCACCCACAGTCAAACACCAAAGGGCACCGGAACAAGAAAACAAAAAATAAAAATCCAAGAGCAAGAAAGGGACCATTCGCAACAAGACATGCATAAGAACAAGTGTAGCATCTGTTCTGACCAGTTAAAAAAATATATATCTTTTCTGACCAATTGAAAAAAAAAACGCGAACAAAAAAGTGACATGAAAGGACTTCCAAGTTCCAGGGACAGAAAGCCAAGCAAAAGAGAAACCGACGCAGCAGAACTATAACCAAAGAGAACAGTAACAAAAAAGTGACACG